TCTTCATTGGTTTATCTTGATAATATATACCCAACAGGTTGTTCTCTTCATCCACGACAACTTCTGCAGTAGCACCTAAAAAGAAAGTTCTTAATTAATTACAGAATGTCTGCACATGACTTCACAGCCGCCATGTTGGTGTTCCAATTCAAAATAATTTTAATCCATTAAGCGCCAGCGCTCTCCCCTTGACGAGTAAAATCGTCTGGCGTTAGACAGAGTAAAATACTAAAGTAGGGTGCATCAGGGTGCAATGCGACTCAATGGGTTAATTAGACTTTTCTGGAACACCAATTAACATGACTGCCATGGCTTTTGTTGAGTTGGTCCCTGTGGAATGAGTGCAAACGGCAACACTCAAATAATCTTCAATGCTATTCACCATCTATCATTCATTTCCATTCATTTTATATACAAATAGAATGATTGATAGCACTGCCTCATTCTGAACAGACAAACAGATAACATCTGTCTCACTCTGAATAGACAAACAGATATTCTTACTTCTTCACCTGCAATTTAATTGTAGATATATAAAAGCTGTACTGCAAAGTGCAAACCATACACAGGCCTATGTTTAGCACATATAGCTGTACATAGATTCTCTAGGGTACCAGTATGTAACATCGGTGCATATCTACTGTAAGAAATTCATTAACTTAATAATACCAATGTAGGGTACACAACACAAAATACTTAATGCCTATAGAAGTCTTAATTAATTGCAGAGGTGTAACTTAATACTTGCCTGGGGTAAGTGGATATCATGACGGGCAAGTGAACATTTTATCTTGCCTGCCCGATTGGGCAAGTTGCCTTGCCAAAAAAACCTGGGCATCTTTAAGTTAATGTTTTAATAGTTCATGTACTTGATTTCAAATTTTGTTTTTTGTGGGCCAACGCTAGATCTAATGCAGTATAACACTGTAGCCATATAGAGCAATGGAAGAGCGGGTTGACCGGGGGGGGAGGGGGTGAGTGATTACGAAAAATTCCTATTAGATAGCATATTTCCCACAAAATTTCCCACAATATTGCCTGACTATGAAGCGAATATTGCCCGACTGGCTTTGTTTGCCCAACAAACTGGGGGGCTGCCGCCCCCTCCCCCCGCCCGGTACGCCCATGTAGCAATATACATGAAAAAATAAATTTGTTATCACATGAATATTGTGCTTCAGTGGTGTGTCTCTTGCAAAATTGTTTGTCAACAGTGCAGGCTCTCATTTCACCTTGAGAGCCTGCTGGCAAGCTACAGTAGATCAAAGCATACCTTCATTCTCCCGAAGCTTCTTCACAAGCTTTTCAATGTCATTTCGATTAGACTTGCTAGACGACAATTTTGCTTTCATGTTTGATATGTCACGACACGTCACTACTTTCCCACTTATCGTTTGCAAATGATTCTGCAAAACTTTTTTGTTGCACTTCATCTTCAACAATTTGTCCGTCTCGCTCAATGTTTCATTACCTAGTCTTCTTTGCTTTGGGAAGTGCTTAAACGATACCTTAAAATAATAGAGATCTATTACCTGGGGCATTTGACTTGAATTTTTTTTTCAATTTTCTCATAATACTTCTCTACCTACAGTATCTAAGACCATGGTGGCCTATTTATTTTACCCCACACACATCACCCAGTAATGTCATGTTTGTTGCTGATCACATGGTATCCGGTCGTTTCACCCCCAAGTCGATTCAAAGTCATTCGATACCAAAGTTATTCCGCCTCCAAGTCATTAGATGTGAAAGTTGTCCACCCCCTCCCCCCAAAAAAAACCCCAACTTATCAAATAAAGCAATAAACATTTTTATCCATACTCCACCCCCTTCGGATGTCTTAACACACTTACTATTATCAGGATGCAGTGACCAATGTGCTAATTATTTTTTTTACAATAGAGAAATGACACAATTCCCTGGGCTGTGATTATCAGGGGACAAAACTACTTTGACATCTTATTACTTGGGGGCACAAAATGGCTTTAGGCGAATCAACTTGGGGCAAATCAATTTGGGAACAAATTGACTTGGGGGCTTAAAAGACTTGTATTCAGTCACATTGCTATTCACCCTAGCAATTGAGCTAGGGCTGCTAGGCCTATAAATGTCACAATTTGACAATGAAAAGCTGAAAATTGCATTGGATTATCAACAACAAATAACAGCAAATTTCAGTATAAACCAAATTAAATCTAGACACAACATACCTCGTCGCATTCGTGATTATGGGTCTCATTGAGGACAGCCACTTCCAGAAAGTTACAATCTTTTGTTGCTCTCAACTTCACTTCCATATTGCAATCCTTTCTAAACGTGCTATCAACAAACGATCAAAAATCCTTAGACAAAGGTAACAACTTTACATTGAGAATTTTAAAGAAAAAACTAACCTTTGATTCGGTCTTGTTCCTTTTGACTTCGATTTTAACGTTCTGCCACCAGCAACGCAAGCGTAATTGATGTGGGAGTACTGCAACTCAGCTTTGATAACCTTGCTTGGCGTTCTTTTAATTGTCGAAGAAATCGTTCTGGAGTCACTTACATACAAATTGACATAATTCTTCTTTTCATAGCGACTGATCGCAGCTTTGACCTCTTCAAAAGAGGAAAATATTTGCCCTAATTTCAACGATGTGTCGTCCGCCATATTTACCATATCGCACGTGTTTGAAATCGTGAATATGTTTGAATCGCGCGTCGAATCCAATCCCGCGTGTAACTGTGCGCAAAAGCAAACTGCGCATCATGTCGGATGAATAGCCATCAGACATTGAGTTCCGGTGTCGGACGAATATCCACGGCGTTCAAATTTTAAGCCGAAACATCAAGCACGCGCATTCTCAAAATTTAGGAATGAAGATTGAAGTAGAAAATATTTCCTTTCAAAATTGCTCTATTATACAAGTAGTATAGGGAATGAGGTTTCTAGACCACTTTTTCGGCCCGCGATTCTCTTCACTTCCGGTCAGCGGTTTCGACCATTTCGACCAGAAACCGCAGGCTCAGTTTTTGGTCTAGAAAAAGGGCTCTTATTTTCAGTGGTCTTTTTAACTCATTTTTACTTGCAATATTTTTCAATCAATTTTCATCTAATCTATAAATTTACTTAAAATCCTTAGCATTATATTCCAACATTCTCAAGTGTCCGAAACTCTTAGGATCAATCGAAACGCTCGAATCATCCTTTCTATTTTGTGTGCTAACATCAAGGTTAATATTATTGGATACAGAGAAATTTATATCACCGGACGCTCTTACCTTAGACTTTTCACGGCAACCACAAATCTTACCCAGGCAGGAGAAACATGACCTCCACCTTGACATGATATCTTATAATACAACACATGTTAACTACCTGACCCTGAATATCGAAGTGACCAGCAAAAGGACATATCCATACTCGATCCAGTGGGCATTGAGTGTTCAGGTTTAACTATAACACACCAAGCTAGAGTGTTGTCTACCAACTCAGCCTGGGCTCCTAAATAGAACATACTATTGCCCTTGAAGACGTAGCAAGCTGTACTTCCACCTGTAGTTGTGTAAGTTCCATTAAACCAAGTGTGTGACAGTCTTCTTAAGTCTATTGTTCTCAAAGTGATTTCCTTCTTAACCTGAGTAAATTTTCCATTAGATTGTTTTTCCCATACAGTAGCCCACAGGATTAAAGCTAGTGGTATATTTTGAATGGTTGAAAAACTAGGGAAATCTGATTTAATAGTAATTGACTCAAGGTTGAGGTCTGTCATATTATTAATAGTATCTGTTCTCCATGAAGGTGGAATCTGATCTTGACAGTAAGCATAGTACCTTGTTGCTGCAACTGATACGCCACGATAACCCTAAATCCATTCTGAATAGATGTGATGGTTTATTCTTACGTATCTCTTATCAGCCACTGCTTGTACAAGACCTGAGGAAGGTTTCAGGAAATTCTTTTCTACCCACTGTTTGTTAACAGCATCTTTGTCATTTACTGGATCCTTTAGATCGAGAATACCACTTGAATCTCCCATATCCAAATCACCCTTTACCAGTCCACCTCTACTACTCATGAACTCATCAGTTGCCCACCTTTTATTAACAGCTGAACCGTCAGTTGTAGGATTACCTACCCTTGTTAACTCGTAATCATTAACATCAAGATTGCCTGATAAAACACCACCACCACGCTTTAAGAACTGCGAGCACCAGGAGCTCATAGCCTTATAGGAAACTGCAGCAGAGTCTCCAGCAGAGCCATTACTGAGACCCGTAATACTATAACCACCCATGTTAATATTACCTATCATAGTGAAGCCGCTACTACTAATTGAACTCCCACTAACATGATCCGTGACCCATTTCTTAGACACAGCAGAATTATCAGTTGTAGGAGAACCTAATTTTATTATTTCATTGTTTCCCATATCAAGGTCGTCAGATAGTGTAAGACCGCTGTAAGTCTCACGCTTACTTCTACCTCCACTAATCTTATTTTCTACCCACTTTTTGTTAACAGCAGATGTATCAGCATTAGGAGCCCCAATATTTTCAATTTTATTTCCACCCATCTTGAGAACACCAGTCATTTCATTTGAACCGTCCAATTTCAAGGCAAAGCGTGAAATTTGGTTAACTATAGTTTGAATATCGGGAACGACCACCCTTGCACCAAGTTTGTTGATTATATAGATTGAGTTACCATTTGCGACAGTTAGATCACCATTTAGAGTGAATCCTGATGTAACCCACCTCTTGCTAACAGCAGATGTACTCGAACTAGGGTCACCGATATTTTTAATTTCATTTCCACCCATCTTAAGAGCACCTGTCATTGTAAAACCTGAAGATTTAGGAAGTGTGGACATTTTATCTTCAATCCACTTTTTTGATACAACCTCACTATCGAGTTTAGGGTCAATAATATCAAACAATCTCCAACCTCCCATGGACACATCTCCTTGCATTATTCCACCTTTTTTAACAAAGTTATTATCAACCGCCCACTTTTTTGTGACAGCAGACTGGTCCTCGGTGGGGTTCTTAAGATTTTTAATCTCATGGTCCTTCATATCAATATCACCAGAAATATCAAGTCCAGTTACAGGTCTATTTAGCATGCTAATTACCCAATCCTTATTTACAGCAGATTTGCCTGTAGAAGGATCACCTAGAGCCTTTATCTCATGGGTTGACATATTGAGATCATCTGTAAGAGTAAGTCCAGGTAAACTGGCACGGTTACCTTCAACCCAACTCTTACTAGCAGCGTCACCTGGATTAGTAGGATTATCAAGATTAGTTATCTTGTTACCTCCCATGTTGATATCCCCAGTCATTGTAAACCCTGCTGGTTGAATTGTAAGAGCAGCTCTTTTTATAATCTCATCATCCACCCACTTTTTTGTGACCGCAGACGTATCATCTGTAGGTGCACTTAGACCTTTTACCTCATTACCGTCCATCTCAATATCGCCCTTCATAGTGAATCCGTTTTTATCAAACACACTACCAGTTGTTGGATCTACCTCATTTACACCTTTAATATATCCCTTATAGAGAGCCATTTTATAGAATACATAATGTTTACAGCAGAATTCTCATCAGTATGAATACAGCTGCTGCACCAATCCCAGCTCCAGCAACAACGCTGGCACTAGAAGTCCCACTACTACTGACAGCAGTTTTATAACCTAAGTTTTCCACTCTCAGTTTAGCCTTAAGGTGCCCAGGTGAGTTGGCTGTAGTAGATTTCTTAGTCTGTTTTGAATATCCACTGAGAGTATCAAGGTGAGCAGTAGGTGTTGTATCCTGATGTTGCTTCTTAGGAGGATCAGGCTTTTTAACTCCAACATAGTTTACCTTAGTGTTAACTCCACGCTTCATATTATAAGAAGCATTTACAAGAATATTATTATATCCAGGAACGGGGTTCTTTAGAATGATTAGACTGGACGGAACCAGAACTATTCCAGGTGTAATAGCTGTATTAAGTATAACATTTGTGTCCCTGATAGCCGTTCTCATATTAGATAGAGTTACAACGGGATCCGCTTGTACAACACAGTCGTGAACAATATTACCGAACTTCACCTGGGTAGAAAATGACTTTCCCATCTCACCTACAATTGGAGTTCTTGTTGATGCTTGTGCACCTAGTACGGAATACGAGAACGCCTGCACTGACTCATTTAGTAATAGTAGCCCAGTTTCGGTAATATTCTTCGGAACAACCTGGTTGTTAACAGCAATAAACCTTCTATAGTCAGACTTACCTACCAGACTTACTGAAACCCTTTCTTCATAACTAATTTTTATCTTAATTAGAAATCCATTGACTGAGTTTATAGGGGACGCAACAACGTCCCTAACCGGATTGCTATCACTACCTCTCTTCCTAAGCCAGCTTGCTTTTTCATACTCAAGTCCGTTATCATAGGTGACTCTATAAGTATCAGTTTTATTTTCCCACTTACCAACAACGGGAATGTGACTCTTTACGGGACCCAACCTACTTAAATATGGTTTCAACCTCTCAGGGTTGTACACAAATTTCCTGATAGTATAGTAAACATGAAAGTTCATAACACTAGTAATAACAGGATAAACATCATTACTAAGAGTCATATGACTAGTTGTGATTCCACTAAGATGTGTAGCAATATATGCCCCACATAGTGCAGCAAAATACGGCTTGTTATAATCAAACTTTACATCAACACCCTTAGTGGTAATAAGACTTGATATACTTGGAAGTAGAAATCCACCTGCACCACCTGTTGTAGTAAAGAAGCTTGTAGCGTCAACATACAACTTAAAATTGTTAACATCCTTAGGCCATCTTATTTTAGAAAAGTAACTGTGACCGTCAACCGTGTCATTAGAATTTACCCCGTATCCGGTTCCCTTTCCGGAGGCCCACATTGCAGGCCACCCGTCAACTTCACCTGGTACTTCTAACGGAGGCTGCTTCATGTCTATCATAGGTACAAACTGAACAGGCACCTCAGTCTTTTCCTTAGTACCAGTAAGATAAGATGTGAACTCCTTATTATTCAGAAAGCCACCATACCTAATGTCATATGAAGTTATGCCATCTAAGTCCACAAACCATGTTACAACTCCAATATCACCACTACCTGTAGTCATAGCTTCAAACCTAAACCTGTTCATATCAGCCTTAGGATACCTTCTAACAAACCTAGCCCTCTCAGCATTCTCAGCTTTTTTACCAGCAATAGGATCAACATCATTTTCATCTTCTTTTCCATACTTTTTTTCATAATCTTGGTAAGACCTATAAGGCGACTTCCCAACGTCTCCTCCACCTGGTATCATTCTTAATAACCTAACGTATGTTATTAAGATGAAGTTCACAATTTTACTACAGGGCTCACACACTATCGTATCACTACAGAATTCAGTTCTAACGAGTAATTATAATTCAGTTTTCATAAAGAGGGTTTCAGTATTCTGGGAATACTTCAATATAAGAGAACCAACAACTATTCTCAAGGTTAAAACATCTGGTGGTGAAACTGACGTGATTGTCAGCAAGGGCTACTATACATTTGACAGTATGAGAAAATTACTTGAGAGACATGGTGTTAAACTAACATATTTTCCTGAAACGGCAGGATGTCAGATAGAAGCTGTAAAGCAGGA